ATGCTTGGTCCCAGACCCTTAATGAGTATAGAAACACTGACCAAAGCCTATTCCCTCTGCTACAGGCTACTGTATTTCAGCACATGGAGAGATGTCAGACGCCCCATCTGCTGGGGAATTCAGCATGCATAGACCAGCAGAAGATGAGAGCAGTGACCCAAGACTATGAGTGAATAATGGGCACAGTAATTATGGTAAATGACACGACGCAATGAGTGAGTAATGGATGCAGATCCAGCTCTTCCATGTCTCTTAGGGTGGGATGTGGGGTTGAAACAGCTCAGCTTTTGAGGGAAGAAAGTATTCAGAGGTTAGTTTGAGGCAGATGAAAGCTTTTGTCTTGAGTGAAATGGAAAGTTTTGCTTCTCCTCTGTACTATTGATGTCTTTGCCTCAGTCATCTGTGCAGTATTTCAGCATCTTATAGCACAGCATTAACCAAAGGCAACCAAAATCCTCTTCCAGAGCCAAGATAATTCATTCAGATATATTAATCAAAAGGTAGCCTGAAGTACCTTAGGAATGACAATAAACACACAAAATCGACTTTCTTCCTGGAAAATGTTGATTTTGATTTCTCTTCAGAACAGATTTCCTTCACAATCTTTTGAGCAGCTCTGCGTGACTGCTGCCTCCCACTTGAGACTTCACAAGAACACAGGGAACCGCACTCCGCTGAAGGAAATCCTTGGATTCGGGAAGGTTGCAGAGGATGTAATTTAGGGGAGACTGCAGCCATGACTGTAATGTGCTACAAGATCTGTCCTGACACCGTGGAGAACGTATGAGGAGGGCTGTAAGAATGTAACCAACAACCTCACTCTCTTTCAAAACTTTCCAAAGAAACTACTACCCAATGCAGAGACCTCCAGAAGGAAAATAAGTACTTAAAATGTGGTTTGCTGTTTTTTTGATCTGAGGTGAACGTGAAATCTTCCTGTTTCTTTCGCTTGCTGTCACACTCATGAGGCGCCACCAAATCCAGTGAAGAAATCCCACTGCCCTCAGATACTTCATCCTGAAAATGAGAGCAAAAACAGTGGAAAGCTCAAATGCTTCTGCAAGAAGATCTAGACTATTGCCTGCCTGCTCCAAGCTGAGCCTGGCTCAGATCTGATGCCTCACACATCTGCCTATGATCCCAGTCATACACATCCCATGCTGGCTGGGACCCCCCATCATTATCTGTAGATCTCCAAATGCAAAACTTCTTTTCTTTAGGGTCTGAAAGGATGTTTTTTAAGTTATGACCTGGCAATGGCTCCCTTGACTTATTTACCATGAACCTCTCTGTGTCTGAGATGCAAAGGTCACCAAATGACACATTGATTTGTAAATGTTTTCCTGCAGAAGAACATGGAGCACCCTGCATTTTGTTAACCACTGGGTGAGATAACTGAGTATTCAGAAACACTTGAAAACCCCTTGAGTTCTTCTGAAAACTCTGGAGTTGAAACAAGGCAGGTAAAACAGCCACTAACCCCTTTCTTCTGCGACTATGTGTTGAAAACTTCAGTAAAACATGGGCTTATGCTACCCTGAAGTCTCATACAAGGACGTGGTGGCATCTGAAACATGTGCAAAAAGGACTTGGAGGAGAAAATGTGCTTGACCAGATGTACTCCACAGCCAGTCATCAATGTACCATCTCAGTGGGTGCAATGGTGGTAGCCAGACATGCTGAGAAATCAGATGAGAAAAGATTTGTATGTGTCCTAGGCTCCATAATAAGCAGAACTGGGAGGTTTCTTTCAGCCCAGTCCCAAAGTAACATGTATGCTTCTTTAACCTTTTTAGTTTAAAATCGCCTCATACCTAACAGACCAAAAAAGAACAACTAATAATCTGAGAGGGTGGAATAGAAAATCTGTCAGCCTGAGTCAGACTATTGGACCATCAAGCCCAGTATCCTGTCTCTGAAAAGCTGTCAGTATCTGACACTTCGGGCTTCGTTGGGATAATAAAACATTTTCCTCAACCTTATGTAACATCTCGGCCTGGCAAAGAGAAGATTTAAACATTGATTGCTTTCCACTCCCCTCTGTCCTATGAATGTGAATCTGACTCTTGTCCAAAACGAACAACTCTGATGAGCTGGAATTGGTTTCTGGGCAGGATGGGAAAAGCTCCTCTCTCGTTACTCATTCCTGGATAGATCTGCTAAACCTTTGCCTCCTAAAAGGGGGACTTGAATTACGAGACATAAAACTCCATCCGCGAAATTCTGGGTGCCCAAGGACACCTTTTCAGGGAAGGTGGAAACGCACGTCCCAAGACTTCATGTCTAGTCACTTTATTTTTCCCTCATCATGTCTACTTCCTTCATTTTTGTATTTGTTTAAGCTCTCCATTAGTTTATTAGCTTGACAGCAGCCCAGTTAATGAGACCGTCTTCCCTCCCCCGGCATTAAGTGGTGCATTAGGCTCCCCGAATGCACACAAAATTTAGTGCTGCTGCTGGGGCACTTCTCAAAACAAATAAAAGATTTGCAAACCAGCCACCAAGCATCCAATGTAATTAAACTGCATTTGTTACTTTTTCGGCCCTCGCACACAATCGAGGCCTTGTAAGAAGCAAGCACTCCCCAATCAGGCTGTTTTTCTTGTGGAGGGAAGAGTGCCAGGAGCCTTACCACCCCAGGTAACATAAGAGCTCAACCAGCAGCAAATGGACACTTGCAGCCAGAGTGAATGGACTGTGGGGAGATCTATATGAATGTGAATACCTATAGAGAGAGCTATAGATGTATGCAAACACGCACATACAGGGGAGTATAGTTCTTTAGGGGGAAAGGGGGACAAAAAAGGGCAGTGGAAAGCCTCCTAGAAATTACTGCTCCATGCACAGGTATGTAAATGACTCTGGAGCCTTGCTGTCCACCACCTCAATCAATTACAAGGTTATCCAAGATAAAACAAACACCATTTCAATTAACTGCACATACAGCAGTGGTTAGAGGCACAGGCAGGGAGGAGGAAGTGGGAGGAATTTTTGGAAAATGGCACTTTTTTCTTCATCGTTCTGTAGATAGGCACAAATAGAGGTTGCCTTGAGGTTCTGTGAGTGCAGCCATGAATGGTCTTAAACTCCAACCTACAGCCATCATGCCCTAAACTGAAAAGAAAATGAGGGGAGGAAAATTTAAGGATCTGTTTAGTTTGTACTGGCTCAAATCTACTGTTTGCAAGAGTCAATGGGAGCAGAAACTGAGACAAGATGCTCAACTATCACTGTTCTGTTGGAGACAGGACCAAGGTAACATGCGCCTCAGTGCAGTTCTGTGCAAGTACAGCTCTCTTATCTGTATGCATGGGGATGCCCAAAGCCCAGCAGTATTAGGACACAGCTGGACAACAGAATCTGAAAACAACCTGCACATTCAGTAGTGGTTTGAGAAGACAGAGTAGTGATGAAGAGGTGGGGACTGGACACATAACGTCATGGATCATTTTCCATCTGTGCCATGTACTTCTTGCCCAACACCAAGCAAACTATTTTACTTCTTTCTTCATTTTTCACACTTCTGCGCAACAGGCAAGCCTCTCAACCTTTACCTGTCTGATGCATTTACAATATGACCTTTACAGTCCACCAGCAGTGTTCTACTCAACAGAGGCTTCATTCTCATTTGGATATGTGTGTGCCATTGGACTATAAATCAGGCCCTCTGATCATAATACATCATGTTCTACATGACCAGAGGCATCCGGACTCCAAGGACATGGCTGTTCGAAAATGGAGCACATCATGTCTGGCACATTATTGATCGAATGAAATTTCATTCTCTGTCTTTCTGGGAATTGGCCACGATTATATTTCAATTGTTATTTGTCAATTGAAATGATGGGCTAAGAATTTCTGGTCAAAAGGTCTTACAGACTGTTCACTCGCAATCAATATGATATTCAACATGAGATTTACATGATTTTTCTACTTCTTTGGCTGATGTAGTAAAGTTATGACCAACTGGCTTTTTGCAAAAAAATAATTATGAATCAAATATTGCTTTCTAGATGAAATAGACCCAGGCCAGGAGATAGGAAGAAAATTTATAGCCACAGCACCATAAATCACCATCCAGTCTCTTGCAGCTCTGCTCATGATCACAAGCAATAAATTTATGGCAGTTGCAGGGTTTTCATCGGTGACTTCAGACACAATAGCTGACTGTGAGCCTGCTCCTAGCCCAGTGCACCACAAGGTAAAGCATGCATACGTGAAACACCTTCGCATTTGTTTTGTTCACCCCTCTTTGGAGGGTACTGGAGGTCTGTTACACTTCCATGCCTTCTTTCACATCACTTTAATTTATATTTGTGGCAGACCAGAAACACCTATTTTCTCGCTTATTGTGGTCCAGCCTAATGAGCAGTAACTCCACACTTAAGCCATGTCAACCTTCTCTTTGCTGACTACAAGTGAGTAAAATCTTGAATTTGGGGAGGAATTGAATCAAATCCAGAGCTGAAAATTAAGCTCCCTCAGTAAAGACTCAAACCCTTGAAAAAGAGGTGGTTGCACAGCAGACATGTTTAGGAAGATGAGGTCCAACTCCTGGCCTTGATTTCAATGCCTAACTAAATGCAGAAAAATCAAGACCTGATCCTTCATTCCTTTTAAAACATGTTTTTCCCTTTTCTCCAGCAGACTCATTGCCAAGAGCCACCCTAAACATCAAGTCAGGGACCCTTGCAGGAGCACAGACACAGCTTTGGGGTTTTTGTGTATTTCCCAGGACTATTAACAGAGTAATATAATGAGAAATGAACTGAGAATTCAGGACCTCATGTATTTTCACTAAAAACACTGACTGCATCAGGGGACCTGCCAAGAGCAGAGTTTAATATCATATGAAAGGGAAGAATTTTCATAATGATACTTGGCAGTGCCTGCATCCCCCCATGAATGAAGCTGCTGGTGCTTTCTCTCCTCCTCTCTCCTATTCTCTCTCTCCCCAAACAAACCAGCTAATAATGCTCAGTCCAGAAAGATACCACAAATCATAGACATTTTCTCTTTTATTCTATCACTCACATGCCATATGCATCCCACTACCTGGTAACAAACATAAGACTTTAGGTCTAAAAGACCAAAAGGCCTTCAAGATATTAATGTGTTGAATGAAGAGGTTCAAGGAGGATGAAAGCAATCACTAACGTTTTGAGCTTCTGCAAACATAGGAAGTTTGTAACAGGAAAAGGTTTACATCATCCTTAGAAATGAATCACTTCCCACACCACAGAAGACCAAAAAGTCCTCAGGTAAACAATATCCAGCCCTGAAGACAGCTTCTCAAACTAACGTGGTGAAAAAACTGATTCCTGGCCTCATACCTGTCTGCTATTGAGCATATAAGGAAGGTGCACCAGGAGGGCAGCTGGAACAGCTGTAAGCTCAGGTGATCCCTTAGACTTCTTGCTCAGATCTTACAGGGAAAGTCTATTCTCTTAAGCTGACCTTTGCTAGAGGAAAAGTGCTTCATGTAACCAGAGAGAGGACTCAATGGGAAAGGTGCTCATGAGATTAGTAACCAGGAACGTGGCATCTGGCTGCAGAGTTTTAGGCATGTGCCCTGGACAAACAGAACTGCCAAAATACATCCTGTTCATATGACCATAATGTTTCTGATATTTCGTGTTAAAGCAACCAGTGGTCAAGCTGCGTGAAATGCAGGCCAGGCTGGCTTTCTGATTTAGCCATTAATGCTTCAGAAGAAGCTAAACTTGGCTGGAGCTAACCACTGATAAGTAACACTGTACCCCATGGTGCCTGTAGAGACAGAAGCCTGTATATGATTTTAGTTCTGTTTTTATTTCATTTAATAGGTAGAAATGTCTGCAGTGCAGTCTCTTGGCTTCCAGACTGAAAAATAAACCCACTCAACAGAAGCTATGACTGTCATTGCTGTCCCACATATTCTGTTTCATTTTATTGCAGTCAGCCATTCTGACTTAGGGCATCTCCACATTTGCTGCTTGTTTAAACCCCTCTGACTATCGCTGAGTTAACTTAGGTCAAACCACATGGCCGAATAATCCAAGCACGTCAGGGTTCAAAGTCTTAATCCTTGATTTCTGTTGGATCAGAAATCCCTCAGGAATACTTCCTGGAAAAGTATTGAGAACTGACAAAAAAAAGTCTTTCTTTCTCCTTCTTTATTTTTTAATCGGCATTTTCAACTTCCACTTGAGTTTCTGATCAGGAATAATGGGCTCTTCTACATCTCTTGACTCTTCCTGAATTGCCCAATTCTGATTGTATTCAGACATGCACTTCAATATATATTCCCTTGCAGTGCTGTTTGTTCCCTTGTTTTTCACTTCCATCTCTGCAGAAACTTCATGGAATGAAAAAGGAGAAAACAAATTACAAAACAATGCTTTGAAAAGAGATAATAACACAGATTAAATGATCTTGATCTATCATGTTCTACCATGCAGCCGGCACTAGTTCTCAATGAAACAGTACCAGCTGCAGCAGAAACCAAACCCATTCCCTGATGATGCACTGATCTCAACTGGGTTTATCACTTTGATTCGGGCCAAACTCGCTGTGGAGTCCAAGTTCAGTCTGAGTCAAAGCAAGCTAAAAGCTGACAGCCTGCCCCAGCGCAGCTTTTATGTGGAACAAATCACACACCAAAACTTATGTATAAGGGCCTAATGTTGGGAAAATAATTCCCAGTGGTGACATGGAAAAGCAATGGTCAAATCCTGCTCGCTCCAGGCGACGTGCAAATGGAGCAACCCCGTTGACATCTCTGGGGCTCAAGAGGGAGTCACTCAGCTCCTGCAGCAATAAACCCCAGCACACTCAGCCCATTTCCAACTGAGGCTCCCCGTCTAAAGCAAGCAGGAAAGTGCCCTGGAATAAGGCTTAGGGAATGGAGCTCTTCCTTCGGAGATGACGGTAGGGCCCTCATTTGCAAGTGATGAATGTCAGTGTGCTTCCATCTGCAGCCTTTTCAAGCCAATCTGAGGGACTACGCCAGCGCGTGTAATGAGGTTACACAGCCCGCAGCGAGTGCAGCGCCAGGAAGGCAGGCAGGGGAGCGACCTGAGCCTCCCTGGGTGTATCAGGGCGCACTTCTCCCCCCATTTCTCCCTACTTCTCCCCCCCCCCCCCTTTTTTTCCCTATTTTTCCCCCTTTTTCTTCTTTTTCTTAAACCCAAATGAGGTGCCCCAGGGGAAAGTCAGCAGTTAGAAGCGGCCCCACCTGAGTGTGTCTTGGGAGGAAGCCTACGGCCTCGTATTTTTTAAAAGGAAAAAAAACAACCAAAAAACCTTCAAAAATTATAATAATAGAGCCGAGCCAAAAATATCAAGCAGTTCATAGCTGTTAAAAAGCCAGGGAAAGCTGAGTCGCACCCGTTCGGTGTTGTTCTTCCAAACAAGCTGACCACCCTCCCTTCACAGCATTTTATTTGTTAAAGCCAAAGTTGACCCACTGGACTAAACCGATGCTGTCGTTATGTGCATAGGTACGCGTGCACACATTTAGTTATTTACGGCTGTGTTTCTCTACGGAATTAAATCAGAAGGTGTCGTGTCCCTCCCCCCCCCCCCTTAGATTCTCTGGTGTGTGAACTACTGAATTCATTAAAGACAGACATTTAAATGCCTGTGGAGGGGGCAGGCTGTAACCCAGGCACGGCCCCCGCCGCGGCGGCATGGCGGTACCCGCACGGCTAGGCCGCAGCAGTCCTCCTGTTACCGCAGCAACAGCGTTCCTGTCTCCCATTGGTCCGTTCTCCCGACGCACGGCGTCAGCCAATCAACTGCCGCGGTTTTGCTTTCCCTCTCGCCCCCCTCCCGGCGTGGTGTCGGTAATGGCGGCCGCCAGGAGCACGAGGACGGAGGGGAGGATGCGGTTCCTGATGGAGAAGCCGGCAGCAGAACGAGTGCTTTGTGTGGGTATTGCAGCGGCTGCCGCCTCTGTTCGTAGCTGCGAGCTCCCGAGCGCTGTGGTTGGTTTTATGGAGCTGTTTGAATGACTCTGTCCTTAACCAGTCCTTCGAAGCAACTTGCTCTTTCTTACAGGGAACAAAACCGTGTCGTGCCTTTAAGTACCTAACCAAGTGCTTTAGAAGGTCAGGTCAGCAGCATCTTGGGTGTTTTCCTCTGCCTGTTTGTTTTTGTTTCTTTCCTCCTGTGCGTTCATTCCCGTTTGAAAGTGCCCTGTATTTACCTGCAGGACAGTCTAGACAGCTAATGAAATAGTAAGAGCCCAGTGGAGTTCTGCAAGAATGTAAACAGAAAGAGTGTCAGAAATAGGTATGTATTGGAGTAAGGATTGGAGGTTGATGTCTGAGTACTGGATGTGCCATAGGCAAGGGTATCCTTTCATTATTAGGTGCATTACTGTCATTCCTGAAATCCCCAAAGGAATCACCTCATTGTTCCAAGGGCTGTACAGGAACAGCAGGTCAAATTTATAAATGTGCTTAAAGATGCAGATAAGATCCCAATGGGATTTTTCCAGACAGTTCATAAAACCACGCTGTGAGTCACCACTGGAAGCTAATGGGAGCAAGGCCTGGAACTTACCTAGGTGCTTTCCATAAATCCTGCTCTTTCCATATCGATGTGATTAAATACAAAATATGCTTGCACAGTGCCAAAAGCAGCAATCTGAGCACTAAAATACTCTGTGCTTCTCGAGGACAGTGCCTGCTCAGGGGAGTCTAAACTCCTGATGAGCAAGGCAGTGTGCAGGGTGAGACAGACCTGAATCTTCTTCCTCAGTGTCTCACAGAAGGCTTGTAGTCTTTAATGTTATGTTGATGCTCATGTTTGTACCCTTGATTTCAGAAGTCGTCTCTGAAAGCCAAGGCCAGATTTGCATTCCTTATGTTCGCTGTTGACTATTTCTTGCCAAGTGTCCTAACAGGCACGGCTTTATTACTTTCACCTTTGTTACACAAGGTATGAGAAGGTCACCAAGGGATCATCTGGAAAGCCCAGTTCTTACATTCCATCTTCTCCCAGAGGAGAGAGATACAGAGGATGGTTTCCCCTCTGCCATTACCTGTTGCTTTTCTTGCTCACTGCTGACACTCATCAGTCATTGTGTTACCCATCACATTTTCCAGACCAGGGTGTTGTCGTGCGGTGCTTCCTCCTGGGTTACTGGTGTGTGTTGTTTCTGGAGCGTGCAGTACTACTGCTTGGCGTGGCTTCTGCTGAGTGACTCGGAGGTGGTGGCAGGCAAAAGTGAGCCATGCCCAGCACTTCCCCGTGGAGGCCTGGCTTCCTTGCAGAGGAAGAGCAGCTGAGCCTGGTGAAGCATGTCTTCCAGTCTATCAGGAAGAAAATACAAAGTGATTCAGCTTATTTTGGTTTCATCCATCTGTCTTACAAGTAACATCCTCAGTGAAATGGAGCTGCTTTGGTTTCATTTGAAACACGTTCTTCACTTACAGCAGTGATTTCTTGTTTTCTTTTAATTGTTTATTTATAATTCCCTTCTATCTATGTGGCTGAATAAGAAGCCCTTTTATTTTGAAGCTTACTGTTAACTGCATGAGGAACAGGGGAAGCTCAGTGAGGTCTGGAGGACTGCTAGGGTCTGAATAAAACACATTCAATGATAATAAAATCATAGAAGTTTGGAGCCCGAAGGAAACTGCATAGATGGTGTAGTTGGGACTCCCCACACTGAGTCAGGATGAGCTGCACCTGGGCTTGGATGGTTGCCTGACCAATGCTTAAACATCTTTGACATCTCCAGGTAGCTTCCACCACACTGTTGGATGGATCCTCTTAATGTTTCACTTCTATGGCAGAGAAAAGCTGTTGGCTGACTTGACAGAATTAAGCATGGAGGAAAGTTAAATAGCTCTGAAGCGCCTTCCATTATTTAAAATAGCTTAGAACTTGAAGTGCGTTGTAAGGAATAGGAAGAAATTTGGGCTGTTGGTTTCTCCGAGATGTTCCCTGGTGTTACTTGGGAACTTTAAACTGAGAACTTTAATGGTGGAACGTGAAGAAGGAGAACTCTGTAAGATAACAGGTTTTCCTCCTTTTCCTTGTCTTATTGTCTTGCTTTGTTGAAGTGGATTCATGAAAAAGAGAAAAGGATAAATAGAGCTGGTTTGTTTCATATTCTTGGGGATGGGAGGGGGAAGAATAACTAGTTTTAGTTAGGATGATCTTGAAGCTTCTTTTTTTAACATAGTGGCCAGTAACCAGAGTATTGGTTCTGTACTGCTTTTCTGGAGGATAAGTGAGGATCAGGAAGGAAGTGGGTACATCATGTTGAGCCATAGCATGGGATGGAATCCTGAAAGCCAAGATTATTTCTTACTCATTTCAGAAGCTAGATACAAAGGAAGAATTCAGGCCCAAAATAAAGTCTGTCTTACCTGAGCTGAACATATTGCAGTATCAGATGAAAGTTATTGCATCGAATTTGATTTGACTCAGTCGATACGCTGCAAGTGGCTAGAAGAGGAAATCCCAGTTTATATGACTCACCATTTTTGTGAAAATATTAACTTTGGCTGATACACATTTCTCCGTGTATCTCTTTTCCAGATCTGTGTGGAATTATACCATGTCTCAGAGTAAGTTGGCTTGGCTGTATTCAATCGTAGCCTTTGGTTATTTGAATAGCTTCAATTTTTAACTACTTTACCTATTTATTGTTTCTGAAAGGTAAAGAAAATAGTTTTTTTTTCGCATGAATGTGCTTTTGATGATGCAGGATTAAATTCTGCACCATTGAAAAACTTGGCTTTAATGATGGGAAAAGACACAATGCTGAGGGCTTGCTTTGCTGTGCTAAAACTAGTGGAAAATCCTAGAAGCTGGCAGTCTGCTTCCCAGGATCTACCTGGACTCTGAGCCCCCATGCCTTATGGTCAGTAGGGCTCCTTGGAACAAATTGGTGGACACTGGAGTTCACCTTTCATTTTGCACAGTGTTCGTAACCCTGTCAAGGTTGCTGCCATCAACCAGGTGGTTGTTTCTGGTCAAAATCAATGATGGGTGATGAGGAGAAAGCAAATTGATTGAGGGATGTCCAGTGTATTGCTTGTGCTGATTCCTGACCATAGGGACTAGATGAGCATCACCTGCAGTAGAGGAATACAGGAATGGAGAGTTTACATCTAGAACCTCTGGTCTCTCTGGGTGATATCTAATGTTGAGCATTACAAGTTAAAAAGCAGAACTGGAGTTAGGGCTGTTAAGGATGGTTCATGCCTGTGGGCTTCCTGGAAACAGTCTCGAAATCAATCCCTTCTTAATTTTTTAAAGCATCTTTTTCAGTCTGTGGGTGTTAAAGTACTGATGCAAGGCGAGAAAGGGAACTCTTCCCAGGACTTGCCAACCACAGGGACACTGTTCCGATGGCATTCCGCATGCCACTGTTGGACCTGCATCATCACACAGTTCCAGACAGAAAAGCAAAATTAACTTTTCCAGTTGAAACTCCAAGCAGTATTTTAGGGAGGCTGAATATAAATAGCCAAGCTTGGATTTGGACAGTGTACCAGGGCTAACACCCATACTCTTGCAAAATGTGCCCTGGGATCTTGAATGACCACAAATGGTCAGAAGCTTGGTTTTGGCATCCTATATTGGCAGGTTTTCTTCATGACATCAACAGTCATCTCCCCTGTGCTCCTATCTTCCACTCTCAGAGGCTCACAGTGACGGCTGTGACTGGGGGAGGCTCTAAATAACCAATAGTTTTTTCACCTGTTCTGTGATTCTGTTTCAAAATGGATAAAGTAATCTCTTAATTTGCCAACCAGATAAGGAACAATCGCTTCAAGCCAGTATGGAAAGGAAGTGGGAAAGGTTCCATGAATTAACTGAGCAATGCATTTCCAGGGCATCACGTGGTAGCTCTGTCTTGTTTTGGTAGTTTGCTTAATGTTGTCAAGTTTTGCTTTGTTTTGTTTAATTTTGGGTCCTTTTATCATCTTAAGTTTTGACTTCCAGGCTTTTTCAACCGTCATAGTTACCAAGTCCCTTTGCACTTATCTTATCGAGGTTTCCTCATTTCCACTATTAGGTGATGTCTGACCCCTTCTTTGCTCAAATCTGGCAGTCTGGACGCACAGTGAGTCACTTACTCTCCCCCCACATCTTCCTATGTCCCCTCATCCCCATGTGGAGGGTGTGACATTGTGTATGCAGTGTGAGATGTGCAAAAAGCAACACAGAGAATCTTAGTATGTGGGTGACATTGCTTCTTCCCTGTTAATGCGACAGGCAGCAAACCCACTGAGAGGGCAGTTGAATCAGAATGTCCCTAGATTTTGAATTGAGTTCTAAAATCAGTTCATAAGCACTCGGAACCATAGTGATGCACAAGAGGACAGCTTCCACTTGCAACTGAAATCTGTAGTGTTCAGTCCAGCCAACAAATGAAGTTATAATGCATGTATGATTTTTCTGTCAGTAATTCTTCAGGAGGGAATGAAGTCTGATGATGTAGCTTTGGGCATAGGAAATGTGCAAATGCTTCTGTATTGCTGAAGAGTTGTTCTGTGTTGGAAGGGGCGTTTGTAGCAATAAGATGCACTCTCAAATGCATGTCTCCACAGCAAACAGCTCCAACAAAAAGCTGTGACAAGAGGGAGGACAGAAATCCTGTGAACTTATCCTTATTTATCTCCTCAGATGTGATGCCTGATGATTGTTTTCTCAGCACTCAGGCCCTGGACATGGTGCCATATGCAATTTCCTCTTCCCTTTCTGGTCTCCAATATCATGAAGAAGCCGAGAGATCTGCACTGAGCAACTGGGTGCCAGAGTAATGCCTTGTATTGCTCAACAGTAGCTTTGATACAATGTGAGCTGATCCCATCCGTGGCCTTGGTTTTGTAATTGCATTCCAATGGGTATCTCTAATTCCCCCTGAGCAGAGGGAGCAATCCACTGAAGTCAGTTGCTGCTTCCTTTGCATTGTAACTGCTGGCTAATGACCAGTGTTTACTGACTTCCAGTGAGTCATTTGCAAGTGTGATGCTTGGCTAAAAACTTGTTTCCAAGAACCCTATCATCATTAATCATTAATTCATGCACTGGTATTCTGCTGCTAGATATGAGTACCCACAGCCTGAATTGAGATGGTAATAAGGTACCTCAGCCTGGTCTGGAATAGCATGTGGTAGATAGAAGATCTAGGTTGCCCCCATTCACAGCCCTGCCAAGTGATCGAAGCCATTCAGCAGTGGCAGAATTTGGCATGTTTCCCTGCCCCAAGGAGTTTGCAATTTGAAGAAGTGCACTTTATTCATACTGCTTTTATAGCTGTTCCCGTGTCAGTCAGTGGGATGAATTCCCATCTTGCCTTTATTGAAATGTAAATGAAGTTTGTCGGGACTTCACCTAGCCTGCATGAGTAAATGGAGCACTCCAGGTCACTGAGATGTGTTCAAGGCTCTGTTCTTCCATCCTTCACCCTGGAAGAACACTGAAAGCATAGTTTGGGGGTTGGTGTGGGGTAGAAAAGCAGCTGTGGCTGATGGGCAGTGTTGATAGCATGGCTGGCTATAAGGTAGGAGTGGACTTGTAGCTGCACATATGTATTCCTCACACAGCAGCTGCTGTGAGTGCTTGCTGGGGGATTTATGTTGGATTTGAAGAAGCACTTAGGATGTGAGTAAAAACTACCAGGTTCCTCAATGAAACCTGCAAAGTGGACAGTTAAAATACAATGGATTTATTGGAGGGTTAAGGACAATGAGCAGGAATGAGCTGATGGATGTTTCACTGCTCTGTTTGAGAACCCCAGGGACTCTGTGTTCTGAAGTCCCTCTTAACACTTCCCACTCAGCTGTTAGACCAGAAGTAAAAATTGTTAATGCATTAAAATGCACTTGGCCTCAGTGTATTTTCCCATGCAATTTCCATTTTATGAAGCAAAAAACCTAATACCATCAATATTCATCATTTCAGCCTTTTAAAACTGATACCAAGGGTAATTGAAACATCTTCTGGAGCAAGAAATAGAGCAAGTGAGTGATGGAAGTCTTTAGTTCCCATAAATTCAGTTCCTATAAAGTCTGGACATGCTGGGCGGATGCCTTGGCTCAAAGTGACCTCCTGGCTCCTCCTTTTCGTCTTGGTTTTTAATTGGAGCCAGGAGAAGGATCCCGGCATTTGCCAGGTGAATGCGAGTTGTACCCTGGCAGGCTGCCTGCAGACCCATTACTGGTTTGTAGATTAAAATGAGGACAGCAAAAGGGGTGGAGAGGAGCTGAGAGAGGAGGAAAGAGGAGAAAGAGAATAGCAAAACACTTTGTTCTAATTCAGGTGCAGAAGTTAATCTCAGTGTCTATACGGACCGTCTGCCACGTACAGGGTGGAGGAGGGAACACATTCTTTTTATGTATGTGTTATATTCTCTAATTCTCCCTGTGTGCCAGCCTCTAGGAACAATTGAACACTGCTGCCAGGGGCTGTGCCTGCTCAGACACCATTCTCATGGGGAAGCTCTGGGAATGGCTTGGCTGCCACGTGATGAGCCAACCGCTTCCAGCTCGGGCTCCTTGGAGCAGCTCTTCCTACCCACAGAGTGTGGTCTGGGTCTGAGGGGAGGGCAGAGGGCCAGGGGCAGGATTGTTTTCGTGGTGTTGGGACTGAATCACTGCAGCTTTACCCCAGCTCTCAATCACTGCCTCAGTTTCCTGAGCCTTAAAGTGGGGAGGATGCTGATAAGAATGCTGAGTTACAAGGAGCTCATGAATCGAGTGCTTTCAGGTCCTGGGTCACAAAGCACTAACAAACAGATGCTGTCAACCTGTATTTTACTGTGGGGTCCATCCTAGTTTTGAAGGAACCATCTTTTTTTTTTCCCACAGTTTTAAACCTAGTGGACTTCACAACGAGCCCCAAATTTCCTTTACATTAGGCAGTGAATTGCTGTTACTAAGCCTCTTGATTCTCAGGTTCACTTGGGCATGATGGGGAAGGCTGCTTGTTCCCTGTAATGGCAATAGCAGCCTTACAGCAAGTCTACCTGAAAGACTGCTTATTTAATGTTACCACACACACTGAATAGGTCTGCTGGGCAGTTTTCCATCCCAATCATTTTCTGATAGAAAATGGCCTTTGCAAAATCAGAACTTGTCCTGCAGAATACTACAGTTTTGCCAAAAAGCTTCAGTTTAGCAGTGGGGAAATGGACACGACAGCTCCTGGCTGCCCACTTTGAAGCCTCATGATGCAGTTTTTACTCTTCATTGAGGAAAAAAATGAGATCAATCTTGAACATTTCAAACAAAAAGGCCTTCAGGGGGCTTGAAAATCCCTCCACACAAATTCATTTCCATTAGGTTGGTTGTTGCCATTTGACTGCTTGTTTTGTGCCCCTGTCAGGATGATTCCATCATTATTTTGTAGTGAAGGTGGCTTTCTTCTGGAAAGGGAATTCCATTTTCAGCCACCTTTTGTACTACAGAATTGTAACTAACGGGGAGGACAGGATAAGAACCAGAGAGGTGGGGTGGGAGTTAGAGGATATGCTTGGCCAGGGTAAAATTAGTTTACCTATATGGCAAAAATGATCTTTTGGGTAAGATGGGACTATTTTCCTGTGGAACTCAGTTGGTTTCTAATTGATTGCATGGAAAGGACACTCAGATGTGTGGAAATCAATGCTTGTATGTTTTTATACTTTCAACTATTGAACAGGTCCCAGTTTCAAGCTAAATATTTTCAATCTCCTGTGTTTCCCATTCTCATGCTAATCAGTCAGTTACCTTGAATTCTATTCTGGCACGAATATCTGAGTTCTGAACAGCAGAAGAATGTAGGTGCCCAATAATCATTAGGAAACACTAACCCAGAGCACAGTTACATCTCCTGAAGTGACTTGGGCATTTCAGTCCCTGGGAGGGGACTGTGTGTGTTATCCTGCTTTTGCTCCCATCGTGATCTCAGTTACATGATCTCCTGCTAAAATACAGCAGGTTTCACTTTGATGTCCAATGTGTTCTATAGTTTTATGAATGGCTGTATCCAATGTCTTATGAATAATGCCATCATGAAATCCATGCAGAGTTACTGAACAGATTGATCTATATTGTAGTGTTTCTGAAGCTTATTGGAGAAACACTAACTCTCTCAGGGCTGCCTTGTATTTGACATTGTTTATGCTGGGGAAACTCCTTGGAGACAAGGAGCAAATTCCTCTGGGATCATGCGGTCAGATCAATTTGTAGAGCTGTTTCCATGTTTTCTGATGCAATCGAGTGTAACAATGTTGTATCCCAGTAAACATGGAAATGGAGCAAGGAAAACATTTCTCAATCGACTTCCTAAAAATACAGCTCTGAATGGGGAGGGGCTCAAGTTTTATTCCAGGAGCTCATTCAAGCCCTCATCAGTTTCCACAGTGTCTCAGATTTTACTTAGTCTTATATTTCATGTACTTACAGATTGGGAAACAGAGTGTTACATGGGCCAAATGCCCATGAGCGTGACATGCTAGAACCACTGTGCATCCAGATGTACATATTCATGGGTGGAGAGTTGCCAGGCCTGGCTGGAAGCAAATTGAGTGTTTGGCAAAGTGGGCAGATCATCAAGGGGATCCTGGGAGGAGCTGTCTTGAATTGCCTTCTCTGACTTGGGGTTTGAATATTGTAATGCTTCCTTCTGTAGGAGGGGAGGAGAGGAAAGCGATGTTTTTATTGTGTTAGCTTGATGTCTGTGATGTATTTTGTCTGGGGTTTTGCTTAGCTTTAATTATCTTCCCCTCATTGCTTGGTTGCTACTGTTGAGATGGAACCTGATGAAATACAAGTTCTTAATGTGTTCCTGGAGAGGAGGAGCCGAATTTACCATTGTGCAGATGAGGAGCAGCAGTTAGATGGGGATGTAAAACTCATTCACGCTGTTCCTATGCCTGTGTCCCTCATGTCGTAGGACACCGTATTTAAAGACTCGCCTGCTTAGGACCCTGTTTCTCAAAGACTTGTTCACAAAGTGACATTGAGGAGCCTGGCCATCTTGTGGGTAAAAATAAGTGCTCTGAGTGAGCATCTGTGAGAGCTGTTCATGCACAGGATGCAGACAAGGCATGAAGCAATTGTGTGCATGTGCATTTGTGCCTGCCTTTTACACCCACAGCTTCCAGAAATTGGGTCCTGAATCTTTGTATGGCTTTACCTTTCCTCTCCACTATCCACATATGAAGAGTGGTGTTAAAATGCTGTAAGAGAACTGTTTATCATCATTGGCACTCTGTTGCTTTTATGTCTGTATTGAACTTTGTCCTCCGTGAATATACCCCCAAGTGGCTTCAGGGACTAACTTATTCCAGCAACTGTTGCAGTGAGACATGGTGAAGAATAGTCCATGCCGGTGGAAATGGGCTCAGTTAGATGTATAGCAGCAAGGGGTATAACTGTGTTAGTGAAGGTGTATAGAGCTTTGTTTCCACTGGAGTTGTGCCTCAGCTTGCCCTTCAGCAGGCACCTCACCATGTAGGAGTGGATTCAAGCACACACAGGACCTCGCTGCTCAGAGCTGGGTCCAAGGTCTCAGCCGCAGCACAGCGCTCTTGGCCTCATCACATTTGAGCACAGCATCTGCATCTGTTTTCTGATTCCGCTGCTTTTGTTTCTGTTTTCAGGACACTTGAAAGAACATCTCCCAGTGGCAAAGATAAGAGCCCATGTCCTGCATCCTGTGGCTGTGCATTCTCAGCCACAAGAGTCACTACAGCCCCTTTCCGGAGGGAGGCGATTTGGACAACGCCATCCGACTGATGCGGCTGATCCAGCTTTACCCGAGGTAATTATGTGAAGTGACATTCAAATCTGAGCTGTTTTCCTAGACACAGAGATTATTACATTATGAAGAAAGTACACGAGCTACTTTCCTCCCCTCATGTCTTTAGTACAGTCTAAAAATAGCCTTAAGCATTTGAAAATGTGCCTTAATCTTTTGACAGGGAAGTGGATGAGGTCACAAGACTCAGAAAGGACTTGTTTGCTGTCAGGAGGATGGTGAGCTTGACACGTCAAATAGAGCTGAGTGCTGCTGTGAGGAGAGAAAGGTAGGGAAATGGGGCCCAGCATGCCCTTCTTTTCAGGTTTCGTTTTATACATCTTTGGTGCATGTGAAAAGCTGTGTGTTAAGAACCCTGTTGTCGATATATAGAGGGCCGGATGTGATGGATCAGCTGTTCTCTTTTCAGTATAGTAAGCTGCAAAAAGCCTATAAAGAAAAGACAAAATGGTATATTTGAGCACAAAAGCCAAATGTAGACATGACCGGAGTACAGTTCTGCTCTATTCCTTGTGACTGCTTGTTGTCTGCATTACAAGTAATTTGGGATTTCTCCTTCCTGGTGAGCCTGCTCCAGATCAAGCTCATTCTCTTTGGTTTTGGGAAATGTGTTTTCTTTGTTGGCATTTGACAATACCCCAGATCTTGGATCTCCCTTATTACTAGAGAAATGCTAAGGGTATATAGCCAGCGATTGCATGGGATAAGTGTTCTCTGACTTCTCATTTCCTGCTCTTACATACTGGACCCAGGCTATCACAGTCAGTCATGCATGAAACACCTCTCTACAAACTTGCAGCCCAATAGGAGCAGTTCTATTACAGGTCTATTATTTGCATAATTGGGTGCTAACAAAAATAAAGCTAACAAATTGCTGATAATTGCAAAATGTCAACTCTGTTGGGAGAGGTCAGAGGTGGAATAGAAGGGTGAAGTCTCCAGGTGTGTTGAGGTCAAAAGTGACTTGTTATTGAGGGGAAACTTGTTAAGTGTAATAGCTATCAGAAGAAACCCAACTGAATAATGTTAAAACCAACCAAATCTTTAGTAACGTGTTGCTGCAGTACTGCAGGAGAGGGGGACCATTGCCAACGTAATTGGTTCCTCACGTGTTACTTAGAGGGGGGCTGGAAAGGGGCACTAAAGAGAACTGTGAACACTTGTTGTGTAGCAAGTGGTACATGACAACTGCACAGAAGGACTTCACCCAAAACATGTTATAAAGTAGAATGGAGGTCCCAAAATCATTTTAGTGCTGGAACAAACTGCAAGTGGTTTCCCAGAAAACTCCACATGGCACTCCAGATGGCTGGGAAGAGTTGCCTGAGTTAAGACTTGAGAACGTGAGGGTCAGAAGGGAATGAACTTGCACTGATGCTTTGGAGCGATCCAAAGGCTATTGCATTTAGGTGGCTTCTTCCTAGCAAAGCTGCAGAGTTCCCTGGTATTTTCATGAAAATGAAGAATTATGGACAGCCTGAGGAAATGCAGTTCTTTTTAAAATGGCCTCAGTTTTAACTACAGTGCTGTATTGCTTCAGAATCCTCTCAAGAACTTCCTTATGTAAGTGAAAAACTGCCTCACAAATTGTCGGTGTGGTTTAAATCAACTTCAGTGCAGTCAAAGGTATATGTGCTCCCTCAGCCAGGGGAGTTGGAGCTATCAATAACAGTATGTCAGATAAACTCTGAGGGCAAAGAGAGGACTTTGCTGGGACATGACTTTTTTCATTCTCTCAGGGATTCTCTTTCTCTTCTGTCTTCACTTGCTTTTATATCTTTAACCATACAGCAGCCAAGGCAGGAGAGGAACTGTCTGACAAAGGTTTCATTGACAAGAGTGTATGATTTTTGCTAGAAAGCACTTCCTTCTCCACTGAAGGCTTTGAAGTGTCGTCTTTGTTCTTTCAGGCTTGGTTGTTTTTTTTTTTTTTCTCTTTAAAAATGATAGACAAAATACTTGAAAGTTATCTTTTGGTACAGGCAGAGTAACAGGAGCAGCAACAGAAACCCGTCATTTAAAAAGGTATCATCATGCTAAAATGATGGATTTGAAATACCATTTCTAATCCTTGCTAAGAAAACACCGCCTTAAATAATTGGGAACTGCTGGTTGAATTTTGAAAACATGTGTAATTTACTCTTCAAGTTGTCTTCTTCCTTCATTGACTATGTCAGTGTGCCCTATCTGCTGACTCTGATCTTTGTACCTCTTTCATGTGGCTTGGGTTGACTATCTGCAGAATGGATTAATAGAGATGAACTCCTTTGTAACGTACATTGAGTCACCATCAGAAGGTGCCATTGTAAGGCAAGGGATTATCAATGTAGTTTGCTTTTTAGTATTTGAACAGTGTGGTAGATGTTGGGTTTCTAAAATCTGGTATCCTGGTTGGCTCAGTAGCACCAGGTAACCTCTTTCACATCCATGCCAACCTACATCCTAGATTCTACATCGTGAGACCTAAAACTTTGATCCTGTCACTGCAAGCGCATGGCACTCTCATTGCAGTTCATTTGGTAACTCCACACTCCCTTTGTGTGCAGACCTGATTCTCCATTGCTGAGTAAATGGAAATTTCACTGTTCACTTCATTGGTAGTAGGGTCAGATCTGTTTCAGACTCTTCAGGATCAGGCCCTTAAAGTTACAAGTGAGGAGAAAGACATGCGATAATACTGCCAGCAATGAAGTTACTGTTCTAATAATTTCAGTTCAGTCAGACCACAGAGATCAGCAAACCACCAGAGACTACTCCCTGTGGTCTGACACTATAATCCTGTAGTGTAACATGGCTGTGTTAACCTCTTCTTTTTTAATCTCTTCATTAACTCACTTTTTTAAAGTGTTAAAAATCCGTGATCTCCAGGTTGTTATTGTCCATCAAAAAGGGCTTCCCTGGCATGGGTTGGGGAGGGAAAGTTTCTTGGCACATAAGGATGGATGATTACAGCAGCGCAATTCCTTTTGGTGCTTCCAGGCTTAGCATCCAGATGAAAAGTTATTTGATGTACTTAATAGTGCCTGTATCCAAAGCACAGCAAAGCTTATACTAGGTGAGATAATGAGGCTTTTTATTCCCTCACCCCACAAATCAGTATCTCTTCTCTGTGTATTTCTGCAGGAGAGCTTGGCTCTGTCTTTTGCCTTTTAAACATGGCAGGCAAGAGAAAAGTGGACTGGAAAGATGAGTGGAGTAGCAGCAAGATAAGACTTGTGTTAAGGACACTCAGACCCGCAGTGAGATGACCTGCCCTGGCCATTCCCACTAACTTGCTGCTTGGGGGTCCTTTCTCTTAACCTGCAGAGGCTGAGCTGATAAACCCTTTAAAGTGATTAGGATAATTCAGGGAAATTGTCACAATAACACCATAAGCTGCCCTCATGTTAATGCCTTCAAATAACAGGCTAATTCTGCCTCTTCAGCCATCCATGTGCACAGATGTACCCCCCATCTCCTGTGCGTAACAACTGAGCTGGGTGGAATGCAATAAAACTGTGAGGTTTCAACAAAGGTTTGCCCAGAATTTCCTAAATATTTTATAAAAATAATAATAAAAAGGAGTATTTTTAGTGGTGGCTGTTACTGTTGGGAAGTCCATCCCATTTCTGCTGAGCTGAGTTTTCCTTAGCTTTCATAACTGGGATAGTTTAGAGGTCAGTCTTTATGATCTGTAAGCGATCACAGTTGCTGGGATTTACAGGAGGGAAAGATAATTTCTTGCCCCCTGTCCCTCCTGCTGCTCCTCCAGGATTGCAGTAGCAGTGTCCTAGAGGAAATAAACCCCAATAAACCAGCCTAAACAGTGGGTTTTTTCAAATCCCCATTCTTAGCATAAGCAATGCTCAGCTGGAAGCCCAATAAACCCTTTGAACCGGTAATTTGCGCCCATTCTTTTAAAGCCTTTTCCCATTTTAAATATTAGTATAAAAGGGGGATTTGAGGAATCAGGATCGCCAAAGCAAACATTTGACACACTGTTATATTAGATTTATATAATATAAAGCTTAGGCACATGAGCCCATGTGGCTGCTGCTGTTCTGCAAATCAGTGCTTACGTCTGCAATAAGGACAAGTTTCTCTGTCTGTGTGTGGATGTGCTGCTCTGGAGCAGGAGGAGGATTGTACCACATCAGTGTGGCAACACACTGCAAGCAGAGAATCCTCCTATTTGAAGTTCTGCAGGAGACTGACTAATTCCTATCTTTCATCATGAGAATAGTAACACTGGGCCACAGACAGTGATACTTGGATGCTGTGGAAACTAACTGGGCTGAAATGTTACTTTGGGTTCTGTTTCTGAGAGGACACAGTGTGATAACCACATTTCAGACCCAGATCTGCTACGTGTGTGTTTAACTTTATAGCCCAGAGCACATAAAGCTAAATCCCCATGTGTTTCTAGGACTCAGCTCCTGGATCTTGGAAGCAGAGAGATGGATGTAAAACTTCTTGTAGTAATAAACAAGTAGTTTTGTGTGCAGAGGGTTTAATGAAAGCTACTTTTCAACATCTCTTCCTCTCTTTTCCTCCCTTTAATGTGTTTTCTGCTGCCATGGGGGTTGGGGAGGCTTCTCTTAGCATTTGGGAGCTGTCTCCCCTATCTAATTCCCTGTTTCATGAAATCTGTTAGAAACCTATCTTTCATGTCTTTGATAGATTTGCTTGAAATTAGTCAGTGATTAAAGCTGTTTGGGATAGAATGGAATGGAGAAGAAATCCGTACAACTCTAGTACATAAACCTTGTTTCTTTAGGCATCCAGCTAAAACATTTAACATGTCCAAGGTGAAAAGCAGCATGCTGGTCTGATGCTCTGTATTTGTCATCTGTATTTGCAAATCCAACACTGTAGCTTTATGTTTCTGCTGGAAAGAAAAACAAACTGAAAACAATAGGAGAAACCACAGAGCCTTGCCTGGAGTTGAAGGGTTTCTGCAGAGACAGGGCTGGGTCTACTGTGGGAATTAAGCAATTTCTTATGCACCAGTTATAAAAGGGCCAGCCCCAGTACTGGGACTGTGGTTACATGAGAGCTAGGGCTATCTACTTGTGTTGCTTGGGGGAAAAGAGGTGGACTTGGTTTAGTGTCTTCTTATCACTGCTGACCTCTCTGCATGTGTTCAGTCATGCACAAAACACGTCTGACAGGCAAGTACAGGTACTCAGACTCTTTAATTGAGTTCACTTAGTAGTTTCCAAGCTCCCTGCTCATACCTGAAGTGGAACTCTTAATGCAGTCCTAGTGGAGAGTGAAGATGGGGAAAGA